TATCATGTCTGAATCCTGTTCAACCTAACTCAGACAGACACACAGACTAGGCAGTATGTCACCAGCTCTAATACGATAAATGTTATAGATTTGGAGGAGTATAGAGTGATGCAGACTGATAGGAAGCGGTCAACATATTAAGTCAATGACTGTAGAGTTGACGTTGGCAACATGAAATAACCTCTTTGGACAAGATGTTTAACCTTGGGTCAGTTGCCAGCCAATCAAAATTATTTTATTCCCCTCTGATCTAGCCAAACTTTAATGTAGCTAAGAATGTGTATTTCCTTAACTAAAGGTACGTTACTAAGTCTCTTATCATCACCCGTTACAGAGATGTACCCTATAAGACTTTATACATTTTTCACTTTGGAATCACCCTCTTTATGAGTGTTAATAAGTTCCGATTCCAATTCATTTAAGCCGGACAGTCTACTCACTTGCAATAGACAACAGCAATGGCTCACTAGTTAGCAAGCTAACTCACTAATCGTATTAATCATCAGTGTTGACTAAACAAATGGTGAGCAGGAAAACAACAACCCCAGTAGAACTGAAAAAACGGTAAATTTCTCTAAATATACGAACGAAATATTCCCACATTGAGTCATAAACAGAAAATTTTCTTTTCAAAGATTCATTTTCATAAGCTGTACAGTCGTAATTATATTTAACAAAGAAAATATTTTTTTTAATTTTTGATTACAGCTTGATTCCACACCGTACTTTTTGGTACAGGTATGGAATTTTCAGCATATGATATCGGTAGCCCGAATTTTGCAGGCCGACCATAGATATCAGGTGTGCGTCGGCAGGGGATCGAAGCCCGGACTATGTGCATGGTCGGCGAGAGTCCTAACCACTGTGCCACCGACGCTGTTATTTTTTCTCCCGCATATTTCTCTTAATTATTTTTCTTTAACATTTCTTCTTCCTATTTTCTTTACTTTTGTGTGGCATGTGGCGTATGGTAACTAGAGGTGATGTACTTCTGTGCCAAGTTCTATGTTGAAACTCAGTCAGCCAGTGACACACACACACAAACATTCATGAGCTGTGATCACGCACCTGGCTGCTGGAAACACATCAGATAAAGTAGGATTCAACTTCATGATTTGTTCAATGAAAACTTTAATCTTTGTAGGCTAGACTATAGCCTCATATAAAATTCTGCAATTTTCATTCATGTGAGACTATCATGTCTGAATCCTGTTCAACCTAACTCAGACAGACACACAGACTAGGCAGTATGTCACCAGCTCTAATACGATAAATGTTATAGATTTGGAGGAGTATAGAGTGATGCAGACTGATAGGAAGCGGTCAACATATTAAGTCAATGACTGTAGAGTTGACGTTGGCAACATGAAATAGCCTCTTTGGACAAGATGTTTAACCTTGGGTCAGTTGCCAGCCAATCAAAATTATTTTATTCCCCTCTGATCTAGCCAAACTTTAATGTAGCTAAGAATGTGTATTTCCTTAACTAAAGGTACGTTACTAAGTCTCTTATCATCACCCGTTACAGAGATGTACCCTATAAGACTTTATACATTTTTCACTTTGGAATCACCCTCTTTATGAGTGTTAATAAGTTCCGATTCCAATTCATTTAAGCCGGACAGTCTACTCACTTGCAATAGACAACAGCAATGGCTCACTAGTTAGCAAGCTAACTCACTAATCGTATTAATCATCAGTGTTGACTAAACAAATGGTGAGCAGGAAAACAACAACCCCAGTAGAACTGAAAAAACGGTAAATTTCTCTAAATATACGAACGAAATATTCCCACATTGAGTCATAAACAGAAAATTTTCTTTTCAAAGATTCATTTTCATAAGCTGTACAGTCGTAATTATATTTAACAAAGAAAATATTTTTTTTAATTTTTGATTACAGCTTGATTCCACACCGTACTTTTTGGTACAGGTATGGAATTTTCAGCATATGATATCGGTAGCCCGAATTTTGCAGGCCGACCATAGATATCAGGTGTGCGTCGGCAGGGGATCGAAGCCCGGACTATGTGCATGGTCGGCGAGAGTCCTAACCACTGTGCCACCGACGCTGTTATTTTTTCTCCCGCATATTTCTCTTAATTATTTTTCTTTAACATTTCTTCTTCCTATTTTCTTTACTTTTGTGTGGCATGTGGCGTATGGTAACTAGAGGTGATGTACTTCTGTGCCAAGTTCTATGTTGAAACTCAGTCAGCCAGTGACACACACACACAAACATTCATGAGCTGTGATCACGCACCTGGCTGCTGGAAACACATCAGATAAAGTAGGATTCAACTTCATGATTTGTTCAATGAAAACTTTAATCTTTGTAGGCTAGACTATAGCCTCATATAAAATTCTGCAATTTTCATTCATGTGAGACTATCATGTCTGAATCCTGTTCAACCTAACTCAGACAGACACACAGACTAGGCAGTATGTCACCAGCTCTAATACGATAAATGTTATAGATTTGGAGGAGTATAGAGTGATGCAGACTGATAGGAAGCGGTCAACATATTAAGTCAATGACTGTAGAGTTGACGTTGGCAACATGAAATAGCCTCTTTGGACAAGATGTTTAACCTTGGGTCAGTTGCCAGCCAATCAAAATTATTTTATTCCCCTCTGATCTAGCCAAACTTTAATGTAGCTAAGAATGTGTATTTCCTTAACTAAAGGTACGTTACTAAGTCTCTTATCATCACCCGTTACAGAGATGTACCCTATAAGACTTTATACATTTTTCACTTTGGAATCACCCTCTTTATGAGTGTTAATAAGTTCCGATTCCAATTCATTTAAGCCGGACAGTCTACTCACTTGCAATAGACAACAGCAATGGCTCACTAGTTAGCAAGCTAACTCACTAATCGTATTAATCATCAGTGTTGACTAAACAAATGGTGAGCAGGAAAACAACAACCCCAGTAGAACTGAAAAAACGGTAAATTTCTCTAAATATACGAACGAAATATTCCCACATTGAGTCATAAACAGAAAATTTTCTTTTCAAAGATTCATTTTCATAAGCTGTACAGTCGTAATTATATTTAACAAAGAAAATATTTTTTTTAATTTTTGATTATAGCTTGATTCCACACCGTACTTTTTGGTACAGGTATGGAATTTTCAGCATATGATATCGGTAGCCCGAATTTTGCAGGCCGACCATAGATATCAGGTGTGCGTCGGCAGGGGATCGAAGCCCGGACTATGTGCATGGTCGGCGAGAGTCCTAACCACTGTGCCACCGACGCACAGGACCAATCAGACACTGGTAAAATCTGTCCTCGGACAAACGTATTATGTAATGTAAAGTGTAAGCTAGAAGAGTTAAATGATAAAATGAAACGGAATTGTGGTGAGAACGTTACTTTGGCCATACGATAGCACCAGTGAATGTAGTCTGGAGGTCCAGTTTCAGATCTCGAATAGCCAGTGATTCAGCTATGTATGTAACAACAGAAGACAAGGACCAGGCAACAGATCGTTTATTAAGGAAATCAAAGCATATTTATATATTTTCAAGTACATTATTATAGATTATTGTTAGCAGAAAAACACAGTCTTCTGATTGATTGTTTCTCACAGAAAGTTAGTCTTTCATCTCTTTGTGGTTGTTTCTTCAATGTCAGATCATCTATATGCTAACTGTATCCGCCTACACAAAGTCTTTATTCTTACTTTTCTCACGACCAATATTTGAGACATACACATTGACGTAAATTAATATCTACCAATTTGGCTAGCAGCCAGCTCTCACCACATGTACAGATGGCGTATTCGAAGTCCTTTAGTACGATATTGAGGGACTCTGTGTAGTACGGTGAAGCATTTATGCGGGGGTGCTCGATGTTCAGGATTGACAAGGTGTTTGAAGATGGAGCTGCTGGTATTCGTTTTCTCTACGTAGCTGAATCATTGGCTATTCGAGATCTGAAACTGAACCTCTACACTACATTCACTGGTGCTATTGTATGGCCAAAGTAACGTTCTTACCACAATTTCGCTTCATTTTATCATTTAACTCTTCTAGCTTACACTTTACATTACATAATACGTTTGTCCGAGGACAGATTTTACCAGTGTCTGATTGGTCTTGTGATTTTTTCTTTGTTAAATATAATTACGACTGTACAGCTTATGAAAATGAATCTTTGAAAAGGAAATTTTTCTTCACTGTTTACGTCTTTTTCTTATTCTCTAAATGTCTCTCTTCATAAAAAACAAAACATAATTTGCACTTGTGATCGACAGATGCAATGCCTTTTTCTAGAAATATCTCGCATATTTGCGATTTGCATTGCTATTTCTCAGAAAATACTTCAAGAAACCACAGCTGTTAATGATTATTAATTTTATTATTATTTAAAAGTATTTTTCAACGACTCAAGTCAAACAGCAGTAATTTGCAAACAACCCAAAAGAATTCGCGTGTTTTCACTTGATTCAGCCTCTCTGAGCTGAGTCGAAACCGCTACAAGGCGGATGAGAAGCTTAGCCTCGAAAAATGGAAACAAACGTCCGGTATTTTTAGATATCATTTCGATCTGGCTAGCAACCACTACTGGTATCCAACTACGCATTCATATCAACCAATCAGTAGTATACAGCATTAAGCATTTATTTATATGCTTACTATCTTGATCCCCATTCACGTTATTTACATCATAGCTTCTAACCTGAATAATTTCGCTTAACAAAGGAAACTGTGGTAAAGAAAAAGTTCACCTCCAAGTAGGTGTAGATCGAAAATTGGATTCAATGTACAACCCCACGAGTAGCTAGTTAGCTGGTTGGACAAAATTCGGGCGATTTGGTCTGTATAAGAAAACGGGTTACACCGTCCAGTATTTGTTTACATCACTTCAAGATCTCGCTAGGAGGAACAACAATTGGTTGATGTGAATGGTGGCTTCCAACTAATCACATCAGCCAATCAATCCAGTAGGTAAGTAGTATTTTTGGTGGAATTACATGTATTCAACTTACCTATTCTCTGCTAAACATTGAAAATATCCAGCATCATTTGGTAATATTCTTTGTATTCTAATTTGAGTAGTAGCAGTAGTAGTAAACGGCAATTGTTGGCCAGGTTGATTAATATGAGTATAATTATTATTTATACGAAAGTATTCACTATCTTGAATTATTTCACTATTTTTACGCCACTGTATTAATGTTGGATAGTGTGTTATAAAATGACACCATAATACTTGTTCAAACTGGATGTTGCGCGTGCAGCAAGGGCAGGATAAAGGATTAAAATCCGCAAAAATAAATGTTTAACATTTTAAAATGTAGACAATGAAGTAATATGCTCACAAATAGAAACCAAACGATTTTAACTTGATCTCTCCTATAAAATGATCATAAATACAGACTGCTGACACCAGCGGATGAAGCGAAATTCTTAGGCCGGTTACACTAAGGCCTTAGATTCGACTCTTGACAGAATTATACCGTATATATATATATATATATATATATATATGCAGAGTCCAAAACTAGCACCTAAAAAACAGCCGTCAAATGTGCTTGCTTGAGGCCAAGATTTCAATGGTTCTCTAACAGGTTTTAAACAGTTATGAACTGCAAAAACGAATAACAAGTTAGACTACGTATTAATACGTCACTGCTGGACAGCTCTTTTCTCTAAGTTTCGGACTCTTTATCAGGTGCCGCCCACTACCCTGTCGGAAATTGGAACTGGAACCTTCAGGTTACATAGTGACACCATTGGCCATTCAGCTACTGTGACGGAATCCATTGCCATCCCATGAATTCTAACTGCTATCAATTCACGATTTATAGCGCTATCACCACCAGCCAATGGTCATCCATGAGTATTTGTCCTCACACCCAACAAGGTGAACCTCACTGTTCACGAATTCTCACTACAACTTCAGGTAACATTGTCCTGTAGTTTGTTACTAGTGATGGCTTTCAGAGGTTTAAAAGTACGTTATAAACCCAGTTTGGTCGGTATTAGGCACGGTAAACAGGAAGGGGGCTAAGAACACCACCACTTCCATTGGGAATTCAAAGCCATATGATTCACACTCAAAACGAAAAGGAATGAATGGATAAAAAAAGCGGGTTGATTGAGGTTGAAATGAAAATCCGGATGTAGACAGGATCCGAATCTAGAGGAGTTTTCGAATTATACTAGCCTGGCATTTAACCAGTTAGACTACGAAAGTGAATTTCCTAACTAGGTCATCACTTCCCTGAAATCACCCTATGAGCAATGAGGAACCCAGTAAAGAAACATTCATTCACATAACCGCTGAAAGTTACTACCTGTGGTGATTGGAGTGAAATGACGACACAACACCTGGTTAACAGTCTTCAGTCTCGTAGGTTAGCTGGTACAGCACTCGACTAGTAATACAGTGGTCGCCGAATCGAGTTCCAACAAGACTCACCTTGAATCATTTCCTATTACACATATCAATAACAGTCTACCATCTCAAGGCTATTCAAGATAGTTTCATTATTTATCGTAATAATAATAATAATAATCGTATTGCTTCGATTTATTGTCTTGTCCCACATCAATACTAAAATATTTAAACTTACATGTAATCTAGCCTGTATATCACCTGGCGAAGCATTTAACAAGATTGGTGCATGACCAACAATCAATTGGATACTAGTTTCATCCAGTAATATCTCATTCTCTTGTTCATTTACAACTTGACAAGAATATAAACCAGTATCATTTAATTGAAGATTATTAATCATTAGGCTGCCACTACCAACTAGATGAAAACGACTAGAGTGAAAGAAGAAATAAGTTAGTGTTTTATTTCTATGATATATGTATATACATATATGCATTTGAATGTGTTCAATATAAACAAAGTCAATATACACTGAACAGAATATACACTATTCCACTAATGAGTTACACTTACTGTTTGAGGGCTGCTAATGATACCACCCAGTTGCCCCAGTTGAAGTCAATAGAGTAGGATTCGAACCCAGAATCCATAAGTTGAAAGCCAAGTACATAAACCTATAATTCACATTTCCACAGATGTATCTGCGAACTCAGGGAAATTGATGTCCCACCTACCCACATAAGAACAAAACCTACGTCACCTAGTGTTGAAATCAGACATGTTATCACTGAAGTATTCCGACCTAAACTTCTTTTCCAGATACATTTATACATAATTGGCCTAACTATATCGAGAACTTAATATCCTACATTTAAATAAATGTGAAAAGAATCCAGGTCTAACCTTATTGACTGACAATTCAACTGTCACTCGAAAACACAATAAGAGTGAATTATTATCAAGTCTATGAAAATGCATATAATACCTAGAAGATACAATGACTTATTGGCTCAAAAACAGTCAACATTCAGTTCAATGAGTACGAGGTTTGAATACCCCTCGAACTAACATCAGCCTACACGAATAGACAGTATCGCTAACGCCCATACTCATAAGTGTGGTTCATAGTTTTCTTCCTCGATATAGAGGCCTACAGAACTCAGCATAAAGAACGAAATGAGAATTTTCAAAACCAATATCAAGTCAATCAGTGCTTCTTTATGCTTCAGACACTCGGCAAACGAGTCATCAAAAGCATTTCCAACAGGCCTACTGTAGACTTTTATCAACAGCCTTCATTCCATATTGATGATCAGGTGGCCAACCTAGACAAGATAAGAAAGTGTGACAACAAACCGACCAAGAAGTATGCAAGAGGGCATGGGATGGATCGATATACGCTGGGGAGATAACTAAGTGATATCACACACCATACACTCAGGCGGAATCCGAACAGGGAGCGAACGACGAGTTGGGTATGCGTCCGAGTGTGACATGGACATCATGAGAAGAGGAAATGAGAGCCTGTACGCAATCTTTCAGCGAGGTTAAAAAGACAGAAGAGGAAAGAGTGGAATGAAGATGTGCTGCTGAAGCCCCATATTCCACTGGGAAAGAGATGAATAATAATAACAATCTGAGTGGAGTTCATGACCTACAATTCACCGGCTGCCACTGAAGTTCTTGGTGAAATCAACCACAATATTGAACAACCACTACCGTAATAATCAGCGAAACAAAATAACTAAAGATTATTCGACATCTGCCCCACCTAACATAATCTATAAAAGTAAGTTGTAAATCTCAACGTGACGAAAAAACACCTATAAGCCAAACATAAATATATCAAAATAGATTGTGTCAAGAACCAGTCAATATCAGCAGTCAGAGAACCGCTGAAAACCAAGGAATACCAAACCGGTTGTTTCAACCTAGTTTGTGACTTTTCAGCAGTTTACCACCGCCCATGACCTCACCAGAAATTGAACCTAGAACCTAAAGTGGGCAGGTAGGAGATGAACAGTGTTGTCACCAAGCAACTGAGTCAGAATCCAGTTCTCCTCACACACACCCATCGACCACAACTTTTTCTACAACAAACTCAACACTTAAAACATTAGTATATAACAACTGGTTAGACTATATATTACAGAACATTGATGAATACTGGCATATTAAGTGAGGAGCAAGCAAATAAGTGAAGAATTTCCTTTCAAAACTAGATAATAACAACAAAAGCGCGGCAAAATATACTTATAAGCATTATTTATAAGATTAGAAAAGAAGAAAACTTACTAGAGTCATCATCATCATCAGTCCCTTGACTTTCGTCGTGGGGGTGCTATGACAGTTCGCGCTATCAGTCTTCGCCATTCTTCTCGGTTTAATGCTATTTTCTGTAGCGTATCCAAGGGCATTTCAGTCCACTCTTTTATGTTGTCAAGCCAGCTCTTATTCGGTCGACCTCTCTTTCGTGCTCCTCCTACTGTGCCTTGTAGAATCGTTTTGGACAATGTGTCATGTCTTACCGTGTGGCCGAACCATTGTAGTTTCCGTTTCTTTACGATTGAAAGGAGTGGTTCCTGTTTTCCTGCCAGTCTATGGACCTGGTGTAAGACATATTCATTAGTTTTCCTTTCAAGGTAACTTATTCCTAGGATCCTTCTATAGCTTTTGTTTTCGAAGGCTTGTATTCTTCTTTCTGTCTCTGCATTCAGGGTCCAGCTCTCACATCCATATAGGAATACAGAGAGGACCAGTGACGAGTAGAGTTTCATTTTTGCTGAGACGCTGATGTTGCTCTTCCATATTTTCCCTAACTTGGACATGGTGGCAGAGGCTAGGTTTAGTCGAATTTTTATTTCCTTAGTGGACCTTCCATCTTTTGTTAGGGTAGACCCAAGGTATTTGAAAGTTTCAACCTCTTCTAATACATGTCCATCAAGCCTGATACATCTATCTGAGTTGTTTCCTCCGTTAATGAGTATTTTGCTTTTTTCTGTGCTGATTTCCATGCCCACAGATTTGGTTGCAGCATCAAGTCTTGAGGTGAGGTCCTGAACTTGATCAATGTTTTCCCCAATGAGGGCTATATCATCAGCAAATCTGAGGTTGGAAATTGGTCTTCCGTTTATGCTAAGTGTCGGTGTAAAGTCATGTAGGGTTTGTGTCATAATATGTTCGAGGAATAAATTAAAGAGGACTGGTGAGAGAATGCACCCTTGGCGTACTCCTATAGTTGTTCTGAAGAACTCGCCAGTTTGATTATTTAGAGATACTGCACTACTAGATTTGTTATATAAAGACTTAATAACCTCAATTATGTTTTTATCTATATTGTAGTTATTCATGACTTGCCATAAGCCTTCGTGCCACACACGGTCAAAGGCCTTCTTAAAATCGATAAAGTTGTGTACTAGCATTTTTTGGTGTTGTAGACATTTTTCGTTTAGTACCCTTATGTTAAAAATTTGTTCAGCAGTGCTTCTGCCCGGCCTGAATCCGGCCTGTTCTTCTGAGAGTATTTCCTCTACTTTCTTTTTGAGTCTGTTCAATATTACTTTCAGCATGACTTTACTTGGGTGGCTGATTAAACTTATTGTTCTGTAGTTCTCGCACTGCTTTGCGTCCCCTTTCTTAAATATTGGAATGATTAGTGACTGAATAATTCATAACATTGAAAAATATAATCCTACTAATAGACATTGCGTTATATATTTGTATTCTCAAGAGAAGTTAAATTATACTCAACGATAAAAACAACAATCTCAGTGGAGAAATTTAAAACTATTTCAATTACCGTAGACACAATCTATGATGTTACCGCAGTTCTAATAAGAAAAAAAGGTTTTGTCACGAACCAACGATTCGGCTAGAGAACATTGAAAACAAACGAGTACTGGAGAGCTGTTTTGACCTGAAGATTACTTATGGCTACTGGTTAGATGTCCTGAAGCTATACTGAGAAGTCATGGCCAGTGGGAACTACCATGTCATGGTGAAACAGATGAACATCTAAGGTATTTATATCGGTTGAGGGCAGCGCTATATCACGAATTAACAAAGTCAGAATTCACGGGCAGCCTAAGTAGCTGAATGTTCACGAAGGTTGGCGCCTAGTAACCTGAAGGTCTCGAGTTCGATCCATGGTGGAGTCTCACAGATGTGCGCTGATGAAGAGTTCCAAACCAGGGCGAGACATATGTCCAGTGCTCTCTGGTTTTCAATGATCTCTCTAACTGATGTTGACTCATGACGAAATCCTCACAATTCCCATACTTTAAAGAAAAACATATACTACGGTTCTTGTTGAAATACTTTACTAGAGGAAAAGAAGAAAGTGAGTCCAAATAACCGTGTAATTGTATCGATGTTGAACAGTTAAGGGAATGTAAAACGGTGAAATTCTTCGTAATCAGAAGATGTCGTGTAAAACGCTACAATGCAAAACGCACTAAATTACTGACTTACAGAGATACAGAGAAATAGTCAGCTACTGTTCGATATATATTTTTTTTACCACTCCTTGTGGCGATATAGTTAAGTGGCTTAGGTACTCAGTTTTCAGATAATGAGTAACCAATTCGAACCCCACTCCACCTAATTCAGTCTGGAACTAGGCAACTGAATAGTATCATCAGTCTTCATGCAGTAGACGCGACTAAGAGCCTGTCACATCAAAGACCTGTTCCGACGAATTGAGTTCAAATTAGACAATCAATTGTTAATTTACTTGCAAACAATCAAGGCATATTTTTTCATGAACCGACACTCATCACATGACAAATGAGAATCAGAAAACGCAAGACGGTTGTGTGTCCTATTCAGTAATTTCAAGTGGCCAGAGTGCTCCGTAAGAAAATGAAAGGGTGAGTTAGAACATCTGACGCTTACAACCAAACTAGTGGACATGCAGGTCCACCCACCTAAGGGATCTGGAAAACCCGGACTCCAAACTTATGGTGTACATCGGCTGCTGAGTTCGAAAGGATCAAATGGAGTATGAGACTGTTTCGGTTACCGATAATCATTGGAACGTATCTTTTGATGCTGCTCCATTACCTTGTGGAACAGGCTTCAAGTTAAAGGGGAAGTAAATGTTCCCTTAAGAGAACCACCTACTTCTGTCTGGGAGTCCGGGAAGCATCCCAGTCCTCGCAAAAACTGTGAGATTGTGTGAGGTACATCTCTTGGTGTCCATAATGCAACAAGTTTGTATATTGAATAAACAAATAATAGACAGCTGTCCTATCCAATACTGCAACCCTTTAGTAATAAATACTAACGACAATTATGTTATGAACAGAACTGAACCAAAATTTCAACACAGAACTATTCAACTTAACACACTTCATAGAAGCATATATAGAGGTAGAGAAAATAGTTATTTGCCTAATCAGTGGTGAATATGTGGCTCATTGACTTAATCACTCAACTTCCAACCAATTGGTCAGTTTGTGTAAATGGGTAGTATCGTCAACCCTAACATACACATACACATAATGTGTGTGTAGCTCATAGCCTGATGCATGAAAACTTTGTTCTAAGTAGGTGAATTCCAACTAACCACCTTTAACTCTTGTCTAATCTACTTCTGCTTCAATCAACAATGCTGATCAACAAAGACAATGACTCACAAGACACGTATCTACCACAATTGATCAAAATTTTCAATCTCGTCGACTGACAATTACCTTAACTATCTAACACTCGATACTTAAAATAAGGGTTACTTATCAGGTGGATTCATTTAGTGTCACCTATATATGATCTAGTTTCACCTGGCATTTCAAAGTCACAGATCAGATCGTCATCGAATACAGATACCCTATTTAGTCATTAGCTGAATATTTCACCGGCGAACGATATGACACCAGCTAGAATACATTTCAGGCATGCAATTAACATAACAGATTAAAGAACATATTAATTCTTTATATTCCAAATAATTCTTTTCTATCCGAAGTGAAAAGTAGTAATCAACGCTGTTAATATTATTCCCTTAGATTAGGAACGGAACATAGGGCTTCAATAGCACATCTCGAATTCATCCTGTTCTCTGCAGTCCTCTTCATCTGGTTCCAATATTGACCATAGGCTCTCATCTCCTCACAAGATCTCCTCCATGTCACTCTTGGACGCCCAACTTGTCATTTCCCATTCGAGTTTCACTCGAAGACCTGGTGCGCAATTTCATTCACCCAGTTTGCGAGTCCACTAGTTTATTCGCCGGTCTTAAACCTGGAATAAGAGGGGATATTGAGCATGGGGCTAGCGACCCTACCCCAAAATACCAACCCAATCAATACAAAAACTCCAATGCACAGGAAAAATATAAAAACCAACGTTACAAAAGTATTAATCTAACATTCATTCATTACCTGTAGCTAACTTTTGATAACAGCTTTTCTGACAAAAGTTCTCCATCTTTCCTCCACTGAATAATATAACCATGATAATTCATTAATCCATGCGAAGAATCAGTATGAAGCATTCCGAAAGAAGTTAAATCATTCTGTACTCGACCGCCAATGAACTGACGAATATTACCAGCGCATGGAAGTGTCACAGTAGAATTAACTTTACGCCATAATTCAATATTCTGAGAATCTCTGGATAGTTTTGGTTGTTGCAACAGCTGCTGTTGCTGAGGTGGTGGAGAAGGAGCAGGTGAAGGATGACGGTGATGTAAGGCAAAAGCTTGATTTTTAACCTCAACTTTTGAATTTGTTGATAACACATTCAGAGAATGTAGAAATGTCGACGGGAATTCTATTTGTACTAATTCATAAGGTTGGACAGACCAGAAAACTGTATCTAGATAAATTGTAGATTAAAAGGAATATGGAGAAATACTCATTTTTTAATAATAACAATAGTGATCACTTTATTTACAGATTATAAAGTAGGTTTACAAACTCTTTTCTGATATTCATCTCTGCATACAAAACTTTCATGCTAAATATGGTAGAGTTGAATTTTTATATTTACCAGCCTTATGAGTATAGATCCTTATTAAAAGTTCCCTCTGTCTTTACTCAAAAAGATACAAGGGAAGAGTTGTGAATAATCAAGTATATGTTCAATATCCGACAGGATGACACTTTAGCCAACTTGCTTACAAGAATTAAAATGCCTATCAACAACAGTGGCATATGGTTGGGTCATGTGGCATGCCATTAATATTGATTAAAGCCTTCAAAATCCTCCAACGCAATATAATCTAGGCTTTTTTGAGAAGCCCAGCGAAGAATATGCGGGAACAGTGATGTAAAATGAGTAGAATGCGTGCATTAATAAATTGAAGGGGAAGATGTTGAGGCATAACAGAAACTCTTAATTCCATAACCCTCTCCCTTATATAGCATATTAAAAGAAAGATTTTCTTAGATGTTAACCTGAGGTGAAATCACTAACAAAAGTTGGAAGAGAAAATAGCGCACCAAGGTAAGTAATGCTCGACTTATTTCCTAACTTAACGCGTCACTAATATTACATGAATCATGGGAGTGAAACAATATACGAAATATATTTCAGTTATACAATTTATTTGGAACAAAAACTGGAACTATGACTTTCACTGACTAAAAAAAATCTGAATAGCACTAATAAAAGACGGGGGAGAAAAAAAGATGTGATTAATTTTTGCAATACATCTCTGAGCATTAATCCACGTGTCATATAAATCAATTTACATCAGAAAGGGAAACTATGAAAGATTAAATAAATAAACTGAATAACTTGACTGAGTTTCAACATAGAAGTTGGCACTGAAGTGAACCAATATAGGTTCCATATTCCACATAGCACACATAGATATATACAAAAGGAGAAAAACTTGAAAGAATTGTTATGAGAAGAAATGTGTAGGAGGAAAAACAGTAACACTGAAAAACATAAGTGAATGCGTCTGCACCATCTGTAACGGTTTTAAGAGATCACCAACAATTTCAAGTCATAGGTGTCTTTAGCATCTCACGGACACCAACTACGACGCAGTGTACACCTCCTTAGGTGGCTCAAACCGACTGTAAAAGAATGCATCGATGGATACCAGGTTTTCATTTTACCACCCCTAACTTCTCCAACTTAATCATTTGTCAGGCGAAACTGCTCACAGAGGAAGGAAGTAGCTTGTGGTGTGCAACACGTATCGCGGCCATCTCAATGGACGTGGCTTCTAAACCCCATCGACTGACTACCCCTTTTTGACCAAACATTATAAGTATAATGTAGATATTGTTCAATAAACTATACCACTTAGCACGGGAAACAGAACGCAAATACATACGGTCAAAGATAGTTAGCCTCCTCAAGTCCTCCACTTCCAATGGGCATGTGTCACAGCCATCAAGAGAGACAGAGGAATCTGCTGCACAGTAAACACGTCCTTTGATCAACAGCTGGATATAATGTCTACACCAGTAATGAAGTAAGTCAAAAGGTGCCAAACATTTTTTTGTATCAGTGTTGTCATTCAGTTCACTAGGGCTGATACAACTTCCTAAATAAGTGAGATAAATAAAACGAAATAATTAAGGAATTTGAGAAGTAAGAAGGATAATAATTCATACCACTCTTGATAAAATAATTCCATAAGGATTACCAAGGTCGGGTTAAGTGTAATAATAGACCCTCTTTGTTTGAAATCAATTACTTGGAAGAGATTTCACATGTACTAGGCGACTGGCTAAAAGTGACATTTATGGTGTCATGATTGAAGAATAAACTACTCAATTGTCCAGCCAGGCTGAAATATGTGTAGCGGGATTCGAACCTGTGGTTCATTGAGTGAAAGTTGAATGTTTAATTCGATGAGCCATATCTCTAGTAATAAATCAATAGGTTATACAGCCGAACCTTATTACATCTATCGAGATGTGAATAGCTCAATAATAATAGCATTTACATGACGTAAAACTGACTACATACATATTCAGAACAACTATTATATTATTCACAAACCAATTTGAAAAAATATATATATAATAAAGAGCATAACCGTTCAACGCTTCCAATCCTGTAGGTCTGTCTGTCTGTCTGGATTCAACATAGAACTTGGCACCGAAGTGCAGCAGTTCCAGTTGCCACGTTCCAAATAGCACACAAAGGTAGACAAGAAGATGAGTGAAGAGAATCAATAGAGTTTTGACAAGTATAAGAGTGAAACAGAGTGAGTAATGGTAGAAAGGAATATGAAAGATTACAGAGACTGAATACATCCTGTAGGTAAATGGCAACTACCTTGCCTTCAACTCCTAGATCATTCTTTATGTCTGTGAGACAGGACCGCTGAAATTAGCAGATATGAGGAGGCTAACTATCTATAACCACAGGTGTCTGAGTTCTGTTCCACATGTCAGGTAATATTAAGGTAAGGAATAGTGTTAGGTGGGGAAATAAAGTCATTGATTGAGATAACTAGGGCGTGTGTTACGTATGACAAGTGATTGATTACCTTCGAGCAATTTTAGGTGACATACGATGGCATGGTGAAAGGGTTAAGGGTAGTTAGACCAAAATATGTCATCAATCCATGAAGTCTTCAACTGTTCGTTTAAGTCACATAAGAAGGTATAAGTACCACCTGGTTGAGGTCCACGTGATGATAAGAATCAACATTTTCGGAATATTGGTGTCACGTTTCAAAATCGCTTCAAATGGAGCAGATGAATTCACTCTTTGTGATCTGTCAGCTCTATTAAATTATCATAATTCTCCTTTTGACTAACTATTCTATCTCCAGTAATTTTTCGTCCATTATAGTTACTCTGGATTTTCCCCTCTACCTTTATAGGTGCCTTATGAAATGTGGCAATTTGAACTGCTGCAACACTACTTTCCTGCTTAGTTCTACACTGAAAATTCAGTTCACAGTTAAAAAATAACGTACATGCCTCATAACCTGAAGTTTGTAGGTTCAATCCCTGGTGGGATCACGGGTGAAAACTGGTGGAGATTCCGAAACTAGGAATCATACGCCTATTTGTGATCTAACTTGAAACATCCGCAAAACGTTCAACAATCTTGTTTAGTTGTCATAAGACACTAATCATACTTTTTTTTACTTTTCCGTCGCTTTATCCTGGCGTAAACCCAAACTTCTACGAAAAACACCAGAAGCACACAAAAACATCAGAATCAATAGGTCCCATCCTCATTACTCACAAACATACATGCTTCATTAAAATAATTCTATGATATACTTCTTTCCCCTGTGTTCCCTGTGGAACATAAAATTCTTCTAGCTTTGAAGTCGAAATAGTAGTGGTTTGTCTTTTACGAGGTGAGGTTGGCAGTCTCGTACTCAGCTTTATCTTTTCACCGAACTTATCGGCTCAGCAAGGTTAAGGAGTTAGCCGGCCGGAAATTAAACCTGAACCACGCAAGTGGCGAGCATCCTACCTCTGAACCACCGACGCATATATATATATATATATCCTGTTAGTAAATTTAAACAAAAGGTATGAATACTTATAATAACAATATGAAATGTGATAAAATGTTCGTGATTATAACCACAGTTCAATATCATTAGATAAAACAAATAATGCCACACATAAAATAATTCTTAGAATGTATAGACCTTAAAAATAGATGTAAAAATTCATAGGATTAATAAGACTGGTAAGCAAATAAATAAAACATCACGTCACGTGGGGAAAAGTTTGATAAGATAGATTTTACGATGCCAAAAGAATATACTGAATTAAAATAATAAATGGGATAGGTGATATAATACCAGAAAATGTTCAGAATGAAAATAATAACATTAAAATACGGGAGAGGTACAAAGATTAAATAAACAAGACGAAAACTAAATAGATAAGTGTTTTATCCCTGTTTTCTATTATACTCCTTTTGTACACAAAGGTCTGACAAGTTTGCATGAATTCAATAAATTCAATAAAATTACGGTCAAGGTTAGTTGAGTGATAGAAGTTGATCAAATGTTCTATCATGATACCGCTTCTCATACTATTCCTTGCCTACAACTTCGAAGGAATTAATCCTGTCTAACATAACCTGTGGCTAAATGCCTACTTCATCCTGCATGAAACTCGTCATCAGGTGGACGTGCTTGTATCCAGATGATTGATGGTGGCATCACTACAACTGAAACACCCATTATCCAACAATTTTAGAAGATCAAATATCATACACAAAGGCTATTGAGCCGAGAGAACCACCAAAATGAGTATTAAGTAACAGTGGTTATTTACAAGCCATGAATCCTAGACTTGGAATAAATAAACATCCTAAATGGAATTAGTTGTGTTCACTGAGCTGGTTGGTTTAATTGCAAAGCTATCGTCATCCTTTTGGGAAACATCTTCAACGCAATTTTTAGCATAAAATGAACTGATTTAAATTCATTCAAACATCTATAAAACACAAAATAATCGAGCAAAGAATATTCTTTTCGATAAATTCCTCTTCCAGGCTCTACAGTTATATATATGTTTATATACACAGAATATTTTAAATTAGTAGTTAATAACAATATTAGCGTTTTTTTAAATAATATCGATTTGTAAAGTATGATACTTTTTTGATTATGAAGAACGAAAAGGTAGCAAAGAACATCCTGGATAAGTTTAATGAGGTTCATCCTGCAATAAATTTTACTATTGAGAAAGAAAAAGACTCTAGTATTTCATTTCTAGACGTCCTTATGACCAGAAAAGAGGATGGCACAATAAGAAGAAGTGTTTATAGAAAACCTACATCAACGGGCCAGTACACACATTTTCTCAGCTTTGTGCCCTTGAAATACAAACGCAATCTAATAAAGTGCTTGGTCCACAGAGCAAGAG